AATTAAGAGTATTTCTTAAGTAAATGACTTAATAGGACAGTTATATTCATTAGAGGCATAATTACAAGACATAAGATCAAGCAGGGAAGAATGCAGAGTGTGAGGGTGGAGTCTAGGCTGAAGCAGCTCCACGGTCCCAGGGAGAAGGCTGTGGAGGGGGCAGGAGAAGAGTGACCTCCGACTGTGGGCTTCCCTTCACCGCACTCGCTGGCCAACTCAGCCACCCTCAGGTTCCAGCACTCGGTGAAAGGGGTGGGGAGACTCAGGCATAATTAAAACGCAATCATAATAAACAAACACTAATTAAAGCATCATAGAGTGTCCCATTAAACAGTGAGTCAGCCCTGACAAAATGCCACCTGACGCTGTGGACACTGTTCAAGAGAAAGCTCCCCTCCCTTCTAGAGCTTCCAGAGACAACTCCCACCCCACCCCACTCGTCTTACCCCACTCCACCTCACCGGGTCCTACAGCAAGTGCCCACCTGTCACCTGGGATGCAGCGTGAAGTACCCCTGACATCGGAGGCTTGAACTTGGACCTCTAGGGCCTCCATAGACTCAGAGTTATTAAAACCAATTTCTCCCTGGATATAAAGCAGTCCCCAGGGTACCCCTACCCACCTGCCCCCAAATCAGCCTAGTTCCTTACATTACCTTGTGGCAGTTTCATTCCATTTCTTCCTGGTTCCGAGGGTCCTGACATTTAACAAGACTTCCCCAAGGTGTGAGCTCGTCTATATCAGTGGTCCTCAACTTCAGTGTTCATAAGAATCCGCTGAAGAGCTAGACCTTTCTGGACGCATCCCCAGAGTTTCTGGTCCAGCGAACTCGGGCCTTTCTGTCTCATAGGCTCACAGGTAATGCCAAAGGTGCTGGCATGAGACCCATGCATCGGGAGCCATTGTTCCTTGAGAGCCTCAAGGCCCCCTCTTTTTGGAGAACATTCTTTTGACCAAGGAGTGACAGGATGGAGAACTAAGAATCTTCATACAGAGTAGGGCAAAAGTAAGTTTACGGTTGCGAGTACGTGAAGTGCAGTTTATTTTTGTATTATTATTTATTAATTATTGTATTATTTTCTGTATGAACAATTGTAAATCTACCTTAGCCCCACCCTGTATATTCCAGCTCTTTGCTCTTCTCAGCCCTCCCCAAGGTAACCCAAACCTGCCCAACCCAACGTCTACCCATTGCCCTCTGGCCCTCACGCAAGGTTTGCTGAAGACTCTTTGCTCTCCTGTGTCCATGAGGTCCTTTCCACCTGGAACCCTCTTCATCTGGATAAATATCATTCACCCTTAAAGACCCAGACGCCCGCTGTGCCCCTCACAAAGTCTTCTTCGGACCCGTACCTAGAGCAGCGTTGTCCCATAGAAATAAAAGGCGAGCCACAAATGTGAGCTTCGTGTGTAATTTTAACTTTGCTCTCAGCCAGATTTTAGAAAGTGAGGAGAAACACACAGTCAAAATGAATGATGAATTTTATTTAGCCCAATATTTACTAAATTTTTATCTTTTTAACAGGTCAGTGAAAAATCATTCATGTGCTATTTTACTTTTTTTTTTCTTACTAAATCTTCAAAACCCAGTGTGTATTGGAATCTCAGCACATCTCAGTTAGGACCAGCCGCCTCTCAGACGCCCGCAGCCACACGGGCTAGTGGCTGTCACACTGGACAGTGCAGACAGAGAAGTGTTTTCTCTTTACTCTGAATTCCTTCAGGCCTCTTTTAACACCTCTCTTAGAACACACGTCCGTCTCTTGTTTTTATTGCTAGTCTGTTTACAACTCGAAGATGATGGCCGTGTTTTCATGCTGCTGCCGTTTTTATTCCCCTGAAGTGCTTAGTGCTGGCCTGTATGTAGGACATGATCGATGAATATTGGCTGATGAATGATGAATGAATGTAGCGACACATGATTATAGCGAAGACAGTGAGCCCATGGTACCATCTGACTTTGAGGGTCTCCTCCTAGTCCGTGTGACATTTCTTTCCTCTGGTTTGTATATGGTTATTAGACCTTTGAGGAGAGAGTAATTCAAGTGGGGTTTTAAGACCCACCCCACCCCCCCAATAAGTTTCCTGTTTCACTTTGCTCTTCAACTCAGTGCTTTAAAAAAAAAAAAAATTCCCACCAGGAGGGCCCAGGAAACAGGAAAAATAGTTGTGCTGTTGGTTTCATGTTTGGAGAAGAACAGGGTTCTCACTATCTCCGTGGCACTTGGCGTGAAAGTGGGCTTTGTTGCTGGAGACACTGCTCCCATTCAGGGCCCCCTCGCCCAGCTGCTGAGAGCCGGGCTGTGTTTTGACAGACGGGCCGAATGCAATGCAGACAGTTGTTTTAATTTCGAGCCAGATGCAGACATCACTCACACAGAGCCCGAAACCCAAGAAAGGAAGGCCGGGCCCTGGGCTGCTGCTCTCAGGCCTCAGAGGGTGGGTTGGAGGGGGCCTGGCGGAAGCCAAGCGGGCGGCCGGGGTCACAGATCTCCTGAAGCGCAGAGTAGTCCCAGGTCTGGGGGTACACTAGGGGAGTGTATGGCAGGCACCTGTCAGAAAGGTGCTTCTCATAAGAATCACAGGCCGTGAGTCAGGGGTCAAGGGTTATTCCTTAAGGCAATGTGATATCTGCGTGGCTATGGCCGGATGTTATCTTTAAACTGTATGGAGTTATACATGACAAACGCCATAAACAGCCTCAGGGAGGAGTTAGGTAAACTGTGGGAAACAGAATCCCGAATGTCAGAAGTGGAAGCACTAGCGCAGCCTTCCACTGAGGGCAGAAGTCCCTTCACAGCCTGCCAGACACATGTCACTCTGACTCTGTGTACACACCCCACTGGTGGGAGTTCCTTCCAGAACTGAGGTCTGGTGCATTATTGGACAACCTTGACTTTCTTCTGCTGAGCTTTCCTGAAACTTTTGACCCACGAGTCTTATTGCAGCCACACTGCTGCCCTTCAAACATTGAAAAACAGCCCCCTATGGCCAACTTGAAACTCATCTTCTTTGAGCCAGATAAGCAGGCCAGGTCCATCAGCTGTACCTCGGATGACACATCTGGGTCTCACCACATTGCGACCTCCTTTCTGAGAAGGATCACTGATGGAGCAACGGCCCTCTTGGGGCAAGTTGCAGAGACCTGAGGGCGGAGCTCCCCAGTGTGGGGTGGCCTCTCTCAATCTTGACATTCTGTCTATTTCTGCAGCCCAGGAGCAAATTAGCCCCTCTGGCTACTCCGGCTGGACATAGAGTCATCTCAAACTCTCAAGTCTATGATGCATGAGCTGTTTCAAAACAGCCATGCCCCAGCCTCCACTTGAATTATGAATTTTTAAAACCAAATTGCAGGATTTTACACTTCTCCTTCTTGCATTTTGTATTTGTATTATTAACCAAAGTTTAAGGATGTTTAAAGCTGATCATGTCTCTCACTTTCAGAAAGGCCTTGTAATACAGAATGTCAAGTGTTATGATACTGTAAGGGCGGGGGGCCACCCAAAAGAGAAAAGGAAGGCTTGTGAGGATGGTACCTGTGGTCATTTGGCCCTTGCTTACATCCCACCAGCCTCCTCTCTACTCTGCCCACCCAGGGTGTGTTCTACACTCGTGCATACTGAACTTCATTATTTTTGTGCATGACAATCTTTCAGCTTGGAATGTCCTTCTAGTCCCACCCTTTCCCTCATTCACCCTTACACCCTCCCCCCCTCCCAGCTTGTATTGGGTGCCCTTTTCACTCTCCCCCAGAACACACACCCACCCCAGGCACAATGGAGAGCAACCCTCAATTTGTAATTACCAACTTCCACTGGACTATGGGCTCTGCGGGGCCAGAATCTGTGTCCAGTTTACTGCTAATTCTCTTGAGCGAAGCATCAGAGCCTCCATACAGTGACAGCTAATAAACATTTGCCACGTGAGCAGCGCTAGGCTCCATGTCGAGCCTCTCAGGAGGGCGCTGTATAGGCTTCTCCAGCACACGTTTGCCCCCCTGCCAGAGGCAGAACACAGTGCTGCTGGACCATGGGGTGTGTTTTCACTTGAGCTCACACATCCAGTATGGGGGGACCTCTATGCCCTCATAAACAAGACGCTCTCCCCCGCCCAGCAAATGCTTGCAGCAGCCCAGCAGCCTCCTGCCCCAGCCAGTGACCGATACCTAGGACATTATCAAATAGAAAACTTCAATCTGCTGACCTCTTTGTCCAGCCTTAGCGTCACACACACTGGGCAGCTAGGGGTGACTAATGTCCAAACATGCCCAGCTCAAGCCCTGCCGGGCACCACCAGGAGACCAGGGGGAACAGGCAGGGGCCACACTCTCTGGGGGGCCAGGAGCTCCCCACTTTCCCCAGCAAGACAGAATCGGTCAGGCAGCTCGTCTCTGTGGACGTTCCCATTTAACCAGACTTTTCAAATGGTGGGACATTTACTAAAGAAACTAAATTCAGACATCAGAGAATGGGATAATTGGATCCAGGTGGTATGTTCGGTCGGCTGTAAAGAGACTGTGGCATATGATGAATATTATTTGATACAAAAAGTTTCTCCTTTTAAAATGCTTTCTGTGCAGGCAGGATGTCTCAGCCCAAGCCCAGCTGAAAGCTCTTCAGAGACAAGTTGGTTGCACAAAACAGCCTTTTAAGAGAGTTACCCATTTTCAGCACTTGCCAGGGCAACCCCAGCTCTCATGAGGAGGTACTGCAGGCAGAAGGACGCTGGAGGTTTTGCTTCACTTCTGGGAAGTCAAGAAGCCTTGACCTGCCACCTAAGAAATACATCCTGCTTAGCTGTACCTGCCTGTACCAGACAAACCGATGAGAACACAGACCACGAATTCACCCCCCTCCCCCGCCGCCAACACACACACACACACACATCACCCATTTAGGGGCGGTGATAGGGCAAGTGTGGGTAGATTGTAAAGGAGTCTGAACGCACACTGGCAACGTGTCACTACCTGAGCTAACCATGATCTGTCCTCTCTCTACCAGATCACCAGGGTCCCCGTGGAATCCTGTGAACAATATACGACTTGCGGGGAGTGCCTGAGCTCGGGGGACCCTCACTGTGGCTGGTGCGCCCTGCACAACATGTAAGTTTGGGACTATTCTGAAGTAGGGCCTGGAATGCACAGGACCAGGTACTTCCCTGGGAGTGTCGACGAGGGATGTGACTGAGGTTTGCAGGGGGAGAGGCTTTGCCCTCTGCTGAGCAGTCACTCCAATCACAGCAGGTGCTCGGAGAACAGCGAGAGGGAGCCGGCCTCGGTGGGCCTCCTGAGCTCAGCCTTTGCCTCCCTGTCTTTCATTACACTTTCAAAGTCTGCCCTCCCAGCCACTCTCAAGTCTGGACTTGGTCAGTACAGGAAGGGTAGTGGTGTCAGAACTCGCGCAGGAAGCTGTAGAATCTCTAGGTTTCCCAAGAACCTTCTGGGTGCGTCTCCTGCTGTGAGCATGCGGATGGCCCTGCACTAGAGTCGGAGGTTTGGAGTCCACTTAGCTGCTGGGCGACCCTGCATGGTCCAGTAACTACACTAGACACCCATGTCCCGGTCGCTCAATAGAGAGAATGCCTACCTCACAGGTGAATTATAAGGATTAAATGCAATAATGAATGCTCTGGAAATAAGGAAGCCCAGAAACGGCTACACAAATCAAAATAATTACTATAGACCCTGAACTATTGGGAGGACCCTTCTGGCCTCATTATTTCAGGATTCCAAGAAGTCTGCATCCCATTCCAACTGGCCTCACATCCCAATTCAGAAACATCCCCTGCCATTGAATACCACCTCAATAGAAATGCAAAATTACACTTAAACTTCCCAATTTGAAGAGCCTCTGAGGGAGAGAAAAGGGTGAAAACCCTGAAAGGCAGGAGCTGACTAGGAATTCTGTTCCCCAATGGCGTTGGAAACTCCATGGCTCGGTGCCAGCCAGCAAAGCATCTCTATGAAATGTTCCGGGTTTGGGTTTGGGGTGGAGGCGGAGGCGGGGGCCAGAGTTCAGGGGCCGCACAATAGCTCTTGGCTTCCAGCCTCTGCAGCAGGTGTTGGGAGGGCTACAGAGGGAGAGAGGGAATCAGGCGCCTCACAGATGCAAAATCTGGACTGGATTGGAGCCCACAAACCCTGGGTTTCCCGCTTGGGTTTGGAGGGAAGAGACTCCTCAAAAAGTTTTGCAAAATATGCTCTCACCAGAACCCAACACTGAGTCACCATTTAAGTCAGGCAAGTGAGAAAGAGGCTGATGACACTCCTGTTGTGTCCCAGGAATAGCAGAGGGGGCTAAAATTGGGTCGCCTTCAACGAAGCTGACTTGCCAGCCAGCAGGCTCGCTCCTCAAGAGGATTTCTTCCTCCAAAGAACCTGACAGCCACCCCGGCTCCATGCCCTGCGCTACTTGCCCTCTCACTGGGCAGTGGGCACCTCCAGCCACACCACCCACTCCCTGCTGCTCCCCGCCCTGCCCACCCAGCTTCCGTCAGCATCCCTTCTCCCACGGAGAACACACCGAAATTATGGATGGAGGAGTGCCACTTATTCAACAGCAAGGACATGCGTGCTCCCCAGCTTGTATTTGTGCCTACAAACCTATTCGCAATGCCTGAATCTCCTGGTGGCCCCAGACCACCCTTGTCACCCTCTCAGTCAAGGTCAGATGTGGCTACTCGAATGACTGAGCCACATCATCAGAGTCTCAGATTTCTTCTGTGCGCCAGTCTCCTTACCTGTCCTCAGAGACTCCCAGCTACACAGGTACCAAGGCATACCTCTCCTTCCAGCTAACTCTGCCTGCCAAGAGCCTGTGGGGAACAAGCTTTTTCCTGCCTACACCCAGAGCTTTCTCCTCTTCTGGTCACTCTCTTCCCCATCAGCTCCTCCTGCCATCCTTCCGACCTGCCACCACCAGCCTGCCTGGTGAGGGAATGAGATGACAGGCCCACCTCCAGCTCCCCGGCCCACACACTGGACTTCAGTGGAGGCAGAGGGCTGAGGGAGATTGCCAAAGAACCTCTGGGTCCAGGGGGAATTTGCAACCTTCCTCTTTTCTGTGTGTCTTGCTCTTGCAAGTGCGGTATTGTCTCCAGGGCTATTTATCTCTGTTAGGGCTGTTGCCATAAATAGTATGATAAAAAAGAGCCATTTCAGTGAGTCAATGAGATAAAGGCTCCAGTCAAGAGCTCACTTTAGAGCTATCTTAAGGATTCACTTAAACCTCCATAATTCTTTTCTTTGACAGCATTCATATTTAGATACATTACGGGCCTGGAAAGGAAGAGGAAGGGCGGGGGGAGTTCTGTGGGAATCACTGCCCCATTGTGGAATCTGGTATTGTCCCATGACTAATGGTTTGGGAAGCACCAGTGTGTTCTCCTGTGACAGAGTCGCAACCAAATGCTCCTGCATGTAGGTGCCACCATTCCCACAGAGATGAAGACGTTGGAAGAAACAGCCACACAGTTTCCTGACAGAGGTAGCCCTGGCTGCGACTCCTCGCCTGTCTCTCTGTCTGCAGGCATTATTTCACACCACAAACATCTATTTAAAATACACGATGTGACAGGTAGAATATCTCAGTGAATAAAGCATGGTACCTGCCTTCAAAAAGCCATTAATCCAGCCATAAGACCACATGTACACTCTCCCATACAGCTGAGACCCGTCCAGATTTTTAAATATGCCTGGAGACGAATAATAGCATTAATAGTCATCATTAATATTATTATAAGGGCTAACAGGCCATTTTCTAAGCACTAACTTATGTTTAAAATTTTACTTTATTTATTGATTTTAACAGAGAAAGAAAGGGAGTTCTTGCATGTGCCCTGACCGGAGATCAAACCCTCAACCTTGGCATATCAGTATAATGTTCTAACTAACTGAGCTACCCAGCCAGGGCCTTAAAAATTTTGTTTTTATATTTATTGATTTTAGAGAGAAAAAGAGGAAGGGAGGGAGAGAGATGGAGAGAAACATCGACTTGTCGTTCCATTTATTCTGCATTCATTGGTTGCTTCTTGTGTGTGCCCTGACCAGAGATCAAACTTGCAGCCTTGGTGTATCAGGATAATGTTCTAACTAACTGAGCTAACTGGCCAGGGCCTCTAGCTCATTTACTCTTTTCAGCAACCCTGTGAGTTAAGGTCACCATCTTACCATTGGGAAAACTGAGGCACAGAGGGATTAAGTAATTTGTCCAAGGAGCCACAGCCAGTAGGCAATAGATCTGGGTTAGAACCCAGATAGCCTGGCTCCAAAGTTTATTGCTTAACCTCTCATGTGCTTCTCATGTTTCCCACCTTCCCTCCCTTGCCCATTGAGAAATCTATAAAGATGCTAACTAGAGCTATCCGTTATGACTAACCCACATCTCTCATTCTGGGAGTTAATCCCACTTCCTCTTAGTCTGTCTTTAACTGTAGTAGAGACCATCTGAGAGGCACCCAATCTTCTGGGATAAAAGTAAGTCATAACAAGGAGACCAGCCACATTGCTCCAGAGCAGCAAAACCCTCTTACTTACTCCTAGGGGACAATGGAGCCCAACAGACGGGTCTCAGAGGCCTGACGTCTTGTGAATCTGTGTCTGTGGCAGGTGCTCCCGCAGGGACAAGTGCCAGCGGGCCTGGGAACCTAATCGATTTGCTGCCAGCATCAGCCAGTGCATGAGCCTCGAGGTGCATCCCAGCAGCATCTCAGTGTCTGAGCACAGCCAGCCGGTAAGTAACTCACCCAGGGGCACAGCAGGGACACAGAGCATGCACATGTGTGGGCGGGTTCCTTTAACACTCACATAAGAATCTGTAAATGGTTGTGCTTTACATGCTCCAAGGAAACTGTATTTATAGAAAAGTTATGGCAACACCTATTGTGAAGGGCACAGCCATCCTCCATACTCTTTGCAAATTCATTATTCATTGATCTGTTTCATAAACCTAGATTTTGCATTTAGTAACAAGCATCTACAACATCATGCAATCTGATAGCAAATAATGCATTCTTCCATGTGTGCTATATTTACAGTCCTTCACCGATACAGCCTCTCACAGAAACCTGAGAGCTGCGTGTGTGTGTGTGCTGTGTGTGCGTGTGTGCACGTGTGTGTGTGTGTGTGTGTGTGTGTGTACGAGAGAAGGTGAGAGAAAGAGGCAGACACAGAGATGGAGACTTAATTCAGTCTGTGGGTGCTTAAAGAGAATATTAAAGAGAGTAAAATAGCCCTTAGCCACCTGTCGAAGTGCAACCCAAAATATTTCATGTCCTCAGGCCCCACACAATTATTTCATTCTGAAGGCTTTATGAGCATTCACGAATGTTAATTAGTCAATGAACCTTCCAAGATATCCATTCATTCATTCTCACAGGGAGGTTTTGGCTCCCACGGAGCTGAGGGAACAAACAGCAGAGTTTGTACCTAAGTCCCTGGGCCCCATGGAAACGAAACTGGGACAGAGATTCAACAGTGAGCAAATGTATGGGAAGGCAAGGTGACCCATTGTGACTGAGAATCCCACCACTAATACATCCCACCAGGTGCTGGTAGGAAAAAAAAAAGGAGACCCACAGGGCTGTTGTCCCCATGACCACTCCCCACTGCCAGAGAAAGCCCGGCACATTTTTTACATATTGTTTCAAATACCACCTAGATGTCATAGTGTGGTACTTGAGTACAAACTCATTTCAGCGCAGCATCTCGCCATTAGTGTCTTCATCAGCTGATCCTCCTGACAGTCTGTGGTACTTTTACCATCAAAAGGAGGGTTTTCCAGCTGAAAAGGCTGGACACCACTGGCCTAGATCATTGGAACCTGTTATAGGAGACAGCTGACATCATCCGCACCACTGGTGTCCTCGTCCCTGCTTTCTCTCATCCTCTAAGTGCCCTGTGAAGTGTCTACCCTCCTCCGGGGAAGCTGTCAGCAAGCAGAGAGCCTGGGAAGGACAGAGAAGCAGAAACTCTAGCAGTTACCACCTTGATAAGCAGCCCCCAAGGACAGCCAGAGCGAGGAGCTAGCTGTCTTCCACCAACCGGGCAGACACCTGGGGAACCTCCAGGTCGGCGATACTTGCTCTCCCATGAGCCATGGCTCAGGTGTATTGTGAAGGGCATGGCTCATGACTTGTTTTAGTGTTTGCATGGTTTCATGTCAAAATGAGCTGTGTCTGAGATGGATTTTGGTACTTTTCCCCCTAGGACTCCCCACCCCAGTATTTTCAGATGTTGGACAAGACTGAAAAATAAATTCATAACAATATTAATAAACACCATTGACCCTGCCCACCCTGGCAGCACTACTGTAATTGTTCAACATCAAAGTCAGATCACCTCCATCCACATCCTTCTTTATAGATGAGGTCAGGGGAGATCAGTGAGCCAGCGGGCAACGGCAGGGCCAGGACTAGGGAGAGCCCAGGTCTCCGGCCCCAAGGGCTCTTCCAAGGGCATCATCCCTTTTCCCCTGAGCCTCTTTACTCCTCCCACAGCTCAGCCTGGTTGTGAGTGATGCTCCAGATCTGTCTGAGGGCATCTCATGTGCCTTTGGAAACCTGACAGAGGTGGATGGACAGGTGTCTGGGAGCCAAGTCATCTGCATCTCACCTGGGCCCAAGGATGTCCCTGTCATCCCTCTGGATCAAGGTAAGAAGTGTCTATCATGACAGTCACATGCTAGGAGTTGTCCTATTAAGGGAACAAGTAGAGAGCATGGGATAGGGGTGACAAGTACCAGCACAGAAGTAGCCTGACCGAGTCTCCTTATATCTAACACCAACATGGGCTTATATAACTGTTTGGGTTTGAAAGCAAACTGTCATGCATCAAAGTGAAATTTAGGAAGAAGGAAATCCCTTGTTCCCACTTGGGTTAAGGCTGCACAGTGTGCAGAGTTTTTCCAGACTTCCCTTCTAGGAATGGCCGTGGCGTTAGCCAGTGGTTTTCCGTAGAGTTCTCTACACAGACTGGAGGCTTGAGGGGTTCTGGCCTAATAGTTCTAAAAGCCTTTCAGTAACTGAACTTGCCTGACCAAGACAGGGGCTCTGTGGGACCTGACTGATTACTTCTTTCCTAAGCCAGAGCGTGGTGGTATCTGGGTCTCAGCAGAGTGAGAGGGGCTGTCTTGTGAGATGGTTCGAGCAGGTTGCTTCTACTATCTGTGCCCCAAGAGCCCTGGAATGGCTGAAAGATTTACCCTCAGGGTCTCCACTGAGCCCCAGATTGTCACCCTTCCTCCTTCTTTCTTCTTTTTTCCAGACTGGTTTGGGCTAGAACTGCAGCTGAGATCCAAGGAGACGGGGAAGATATTTGTCAGCACTGAGTTCAAGTTCTACAACTGCAGTGCCCACCAACTGTGAGCATTTGTCAGAGTCCTGCCCTGGGTCTGGATATGAGTGTGGGGTCTCTCTAAGCTCAAATCATATCATATTCACCTCTCAGTTTGTGATGGGGCCTGGCACATTGTCTGGAACAGAGTGAGCTTCCCATAAATGTTCCTTTTCAGTTCTATTCAGTTTACTCAGTTACATTAAACTGAATGGCAATCACTCTCCACAGCCTCCGATTCCATTCAGACTCCCACATCTGTCCCCCCAAAATCCTACCCTCAACTCTCAAGGTAAAAGAGTAAAAAAAGAGTTTGAAGTAAAGACAAAGGTCATGGCCCAGGAACTATAAGAAAAGATCTTCATTTCTGTCCGATCAGTGGTGGCTTTGAATATAGAGATTGACAATGAGTAGAAGTTTATACATGTCACCCGTGACCAAATGAAGAGGGACTCAGAAATAAGAATCAGTTATGCACGCAGTTACCCCAGAGTAGGGACAAGGGTGGGACAATAGCCTTGCCCAGCATGCAGGATAAGGACCTGGGGTGGAATGGGGAGACGAGGCTTTAACTCCACCGTAGTCCAAACTCAGCCTTCAACATTTTAAAGAGTAGGGGGAATCCAGACTAAACCCCAATCTCCACAGGGGCTTGAATACAGCCCAGCTGACCTCACTGACCATCTACAGTGGCAGAATGCCTACCAATGGGCGCCCACAAGCTGTGAGATCCTACAGCTGCGCAGGGAGCTGGGAGAGCCTGGAGCAATGGAGAGAGAGACCCACATTTAGTTCCTGATGATCCTCTCTGAAAAGGAAACTGACACTTCTTCCTTATAAACTGGGAACATGGGTCACAGGACCAATGACCTTGAACATTCAGCAAAGAGAGAGATCAAACAATAACTCCATACCAAAGGGAACAGTAGCTGGGACAATTCTATGGACTCATTCTTCCCATTGTCCGGGACAGGGCTAACCTTTGGTCTACATAATCGGCAGAACTCCAAGGCAGCAAGTCTAGAGCGTCCAAGCTGTGGGCACGATAGGCTCAGCATCCACCTAGGGAGAGGGCCTTGTGCAGCCAAGCCTGAGGCGAATCTTTAGCCCTTAAGATAGACCTCTCATGTGCTTCTCATGTTTCCCACCTTCTCTCTCGCCAGTCCTCCTCTCTCCCCTTCTCTGATATTGATTTTGATGATTACAATCATCTGCTAGAGTTCTAGGGCCTCCACAGTAGTTAAGGAAGGAGACATAGCTGTGCCCCACTTGGACAAATCAACAGATGTGCTGAGAAAGACAGGACAAGTGATAAAACCGGCCCAGGGAGGAGGAGCCAGGGCAGGGAAGTCAGTGGTTGAAGTCAAAACAGACAAAATCGCCCACTAACTACTGCATTCCAATCCCAGCTAGCCCAGTTTGGGGAAATGCAAGCGCCTTAGAACAAAGAAGCTCCCAACCTTCTCAAACTCCAGCACAGTGGTGTGGGGCCGCATTGCTTGTGAGCACATGCTCATCTCCATGGCAGTCCAGTGTGATGCCACCATTTTCTACCATGCATTGCTGTGGCAACAGAGATGCTGTCACAAGCAGCAAGCTTTATGTGGGGAAAAAAAAAGCAGGTCGCCTTGACAGCACAGATTGCATCATTTTTATTGCCAAACACTATCTAGCTTGGCATTCATAGTAAAGAGTCACAGAATCGAGTTCAATCCTCTCCTTTAAATGTGGTACACTGACACCTGCAGAGGACAAGTGTGTTTCAATGAAAGTCGCAAAACTAGCCAGTGGAAGAGCCAGGCTTAGAAACCCATCTCATCATCCTTGGTTCATTTTCTTTACTTACTGAATCATAAAATGTTAGCAAGACTCAGTCAGTCCAAGCTCAGACATGAAATAACTTTGGGCATACGCAGAGGGGATGAAAATGACGAGCAAGCAATAGATGAACTGCACATTAGCCGATGGCCTTTTGGCATGGAGTCCCGTCCCATATGCCCAAAGGTAATGAGAGCCCCCACCAGGTGGCGCCAGATTGTAGACCAGGCGCCTCCCTTCCAGGTTGTCCAGTTGTGAAACGCTAGGCTGGAGAAGCTGTCCAGGGGCAGGAAGGCCAACCCCACCTTACAGAACCCATTTCCATTATAATGGTCTGATCACACACAAAAAGCCAAAATAATACGCACAGCCTCCAGGTGAAACAGCAGGGAGGGAAGCACTCACCCTGGCAGGAAATGCATAGGAGCCACACACACAGCCTATTGCTACCTATGCCGGGCTGCTTGGAGGGAGGGATAAAGTGTCCATTTAATACTGTTTGGCTCTCAGTGCTCAGGAACACAGGTGATATGAACTAATCATTAACAAATATGATTTGAGATCTTCAAATAACAGGTAATTTATGCACTGGAAAATAATACATTTAACATTGTATTTCTCAAATCCATTTCCTATGCATTATCTGGTTTGATGCTAAGCAGCCCTGTAGAGTAGACAGGAATGTTTGATTACAGACAGGTGAAAGGCCTAAATAGAAGGCGAAGTGACTTACTTAGGGCAACCCCAGTGGCAGCGTCAGAGGCAGAACTGGAATCAGATCTGCCCAGTTTCCACCCCAGGGCTCTTTCAGCTTTTCTGTCACCTAAGAGATGGTATGCTGGGAACTGTGTAACCCCCAGAAATCTGAGGAGAAATCCTTGTATTACCATTTTCCAATTTCTATGGTGTAAATGCTTCCTCTGTGGCCAACTTCAAGTCATCAACACAATGTCAACTCATTTGCAAATTTCCTGAAGATATAAATAATCAACTCTCATGAGATGATACAGGCCAGCTCTAGTATACCACTGCTTTATAGGATACATTATTTTCACTTTGGACTCATTTATTTATTTTTTTTCAGTTCTCTGGTCCAGTGAATATCTTGGAGGGAGAATCCACAATTCTCAGTGCTGGGGGCTGCCCTACCTACCTACCCTCCTGAGAATGAGGCGGGGTTAACAGACTAACATCAGGTTACATAGGCTACTTGGCAGCCTTATCCTCCATCTCTGCCTCCTACTCTTTGACTCTTACTGTCTCCACCTTTGCAGGTGCCTGTCTTGTGTCAACAGCGCCTTCCGCTGCCATTGGTGCAAGTACCGCAACCTCTGCACTCATGACCCCACCACCTGCTCCTTCCAGGAGGGCCGGATCAATATTTCAGAGGTAAGCAGGGCTCACCTTGGCGTGGCAATGTCCCCACTGGATCTGAGTGGCCCTTCCTTTCAGATGGTCAGTCCGGCAGCTTGACCATCTCCTGGCTCTGGCCCATCTTGGTCTTCTTCCAGAGAGTCTACATGTTAGAAAGCCATGTTATTATAAAGCTCAAAAAGTGGCAGGAAACACCACAGAGGCAGAAAAGTACTCTGCATCTACTAGACTCCTAAGACTCTATGAATTTAAAAGCTAGAAGGGAACTGAGGGTTGAAACTGAAAGTCTAGAGGAAACATTTCCAACCAAACAGACTCCATAGTCTAGAAGAGTGTAGTGAATGGCATTTATTCTTTGAGTCTAAGCCCTTTGCTTGGCTGCAGACATAGTCTAGTTCAATAGAACATTCACTCTCAACCATTCTTTCATGCCAACTTCTCTTCCAAGTGTAAAATTCAATGATTCTTTGACTCTGATGTATGACTGAGTGGGTGGCCTTATAGAAAGAGAGAGAAATTCAGCTAGTGAAAAGAACCAGGCTGGTCTAAAAGTCCCATTTTATTATATAGTCAATGTTTCATCCCTAGGGCCTGACCCACCTTTGTTATCAACACAGTGAAAAATCAGATTGCTTATCTTTCCAGTAAATATTCCATCCTGTGATTATTCATTGATGCTGACTTTCTTATATATTCACAGCATGCTCCAAGACAATGAAGCCTGTTTGGTCAGCTTCCTTTTCTTGTGGCTAATGTTTTTCACACCTGAAGGTGGCCAGTGGTTGGGTTTGAACAAATACAGAGATTTTATGTGTTCATACAAATGCACATATCCATATATCCACACGCCCTCTTACTCCACCTTTTGGAAAACCCGCAAACGTAAATGAGTGACAGAGTAGAACTTGCGTTTACTGCTTCAGCCTTTCTGTGCAGTCTCCCTCTTCCACTAGACCCCAAGCTCCTTGAAGGCAAAGGCTACACCTTAATTAAATCCTTAGCACCTTCTTCAGTGAATGTTTGTAGATTACAGGCATGAATGAATGGATAAGCCAATGACTGCTTTAGCCAAATGCCATTGATAGAGTTCCATGGATGTACATGTCTCAGATTTCAACAAAACAGAGTCTCATATGTCTCTTAATCGTGATAGATATGCTGGTTTCTTCCATGGATAAACATAAGAAAGTAGGCCTTGATATACATATATCAAATCACTATGATGTACACTTTAAATATCTTATAAACTTATTTGTCAAATATACCTCAATAAAGCTAAACTTTTTAAATTAAAATAAAAACGAAAGTAGGCCTTGGAAAATTTTCCCAAACACACATACTTGACCCTTGAACTCTTAGTTTCTGAAACAATACGTGTTATATTCAGCCAGAAAATAAGGATTTCCCAGTCTTGGAAGAGAGAAACAGAGATGAAGCCCACAGGCACTGAAGGCAGGTGCATCCTCAGGTGCACTGTGGAATATCTAGTCCTTTGACACCTCTGAGAAAAGGTTTTCCCTCCAGCCAGCTGCTATGCTTTGGCATAGCTGACCAGAATGCTGTACACTGGTCCTAGTGGAGCCTGGAAATTCACCGCAGCCTCAGGATTCTGAGAAAATGTGAAACTGCTTTCAGGCCTGAGTTCTCATTCATGGAAGTGGGCCCAAGAGCTGAGGGAGTGGAGTGGGGTAGCTAACCCAGCTTGGGAGTTAATAGAAGAGCGGCGAAGGGAGGCAGGGACAGGGGGCAGGAAAAGCTGAAGCCACAGGAAGACCTGCTCAGAGTAAAGGCAACAAAGGATCAAGATAAGTGATCTCAGATACAGACCTTCACAGTGGCCACTTCTAAACTTCTAAGTCTCTTAACAAAATAAATTGAGGCCGACCACAAGAGCGCACACACACAAAGAGGGTGAAGTGCAGATCTGGACAAGAAAGAACAGCTGCTGCATTTTCTCCCAGGGGCTCCCCTCAGGCAAGAGAAACCCAAAGCCAAGCCTGCCACCGCCAGCAGCTGGAGCGAGGGCAGGAGTGTCACAGAGCAAGACAAATAAACTGCCTGGTGTGGAGGCAGGGAGGGCTGAGCCCCAGAAGACTAATTGGAAGCACGCCGGCCTCCCTCATGCCCCTTAGAAATCACTGGAACACAGTCCCCTCTCAGCCACAGGGATGAGACTCAGGCAGTCCAGAGAGCTAGGCCTGACAGATACTGTCCCCCCCCCCCCGCCCCCACCCCACTCCCGCCCCTTACAGCTCAGGGTTGAATTACCAGAAGAGCCCTGGAGTAAACGCAGAGGCTTCCCATCTCTTTTTAGTTTTGCCTTTTCTCCTTAATGTCTGTTCCTTGGGGTAGGAGAGGTGCCTTTGTCTCCCCTCACCTCCGCGAACGGGCAGACCACTCTCTTTCTGCTAATATGCACAGGCCTGGCACTGCCCTGGGAACTGGCTCTTAGGAGGCTGGTGAGGGAAGCCCAGACCCCGTGCAGCTCTGGATTTTTCTCAGGAAAGGAAATAGCGTGCAGGCTCCCAGTGAGGTTGCCAGGGCCTGTCTCAGCTTCCTCCTGATGCTACTTTAGCTCTCAGCCGCACAGCCTTTCCCAGCAAATAGCTCCCAGCCCTGCTCTCTTCTGTCCAAAGCTCAGCTTATGGAGAACCCCATTCCTGAAAATGCGGGGACAGCAACAGTGCGCATGTCCAGCTTAGGAGACGGTCCTCTGACTCTATTAGGAGTCCAATCTGACAGCCTCAGGTTCTTCTGAGTACTGGAAACCCCTTGGGTGCCTCTTTGGGGTTCCTAGAATATCTCTATTATACTTCCAATATGGCTCCCCTAACTTTGAATCAAAATTTTATGTCTCTCTACTTCCTAGAAACAACATATAACTGATTAGTTCTGTTGATTTACATAGCAACATGAATGCGTCACACATTTGTAATTCTCTCACTTGTGACAGGAGTTCTCAGGGAGTGTGTGGGGGTGGGGAGGCCAGCAGAAGCAGCAGCAGCACCTGGGACCTCGTTAGAAATTCTAATTCTGGGGCCTCATCCCAGGTTAGCCTTAAGATTGAGAACCACTGACATATGGCATCTCAATTAATTCTTGCAGTTTCACATAATTCACATTTGATATATATAGTAACCAAGATGCTAAAAATTTAGGATTTCTGCCCAAGGCTACAGAGAACTCAGGCATCCAAAAAATCTGAGCGCAGTATGCTTTCTACAGAAAATCAGGGCCAGTTAGCTTGTTTGTCTGCATGGCCACGGCCACACTGGAGGAACTGACATCCGTCTGGCCCTTTGCTGTTGGTCCTAAGGGCTCTGGGCAGGGAGAGACCAGCAGAACTCCATCTCTACGGATGGAGAAACTGCCCATAGCAGGTAGGTCCGTATCGCCATGTCCAGACACAGATCCTGTCAGCCCCGAGACAGATCTGCCCGCTGTTTTCCAGAGGGCCAGCAGACCAACGCCACGCTTAGACGTGACTACAGAGAACCGCTGTTTTAGAGTGAATGCAATGCAAAAGTGAAAACAGTAGTGAACATCTATTTAGTGCTTATTATACATGCAACATTTTAATATCTCATTTAATCTACTCTATGAAATGACTCTACTTAGAAGAATAAACAGATTTAGGTACACAAGCACAAGAGAAATACGCAGTAATAACATTAACATTGTTAATTCCATTTATTCCCATTATGACATACGTTTTTATTCTTCTCTCATGCAATCTAGTGTCATCAGTTATTATCGGCCCATTTTCTAGATGAGGAAACTGAATTGTAAGGTCGTAACCTAAACCTTTCCACCACTCAGAGCACAGCAGATTTCTGATGGGACCCCCCAAATCCCTGCACCCCTGGGCTGGATCCGGCTGTGACACGGTGTTAACAAACAGTGTGCACTGGAGTATGGATGGCTTTCAGCTTTAAAAGCTCATCTCCCTCCATGGCTAAGCCAGGCCTAGTTAGATGTAGATACATAAATATCTTCTTTATGCCCTGCCCCGAGGGAAAGGTAGAACCAAATAAATCCGATTAGCCTCCAGGATGCTGACTGCTCTCTTTTTTTGAAGTCCGGTGGGTGGAGATAATGCCATTTTTCACATGGGAGAAGTCATTTCAGAGAACTGAGAGTCCCCAGCAATGAGAGCTGGCAATGCACCGCTACCAGGGTGGTGATGCAACCCTAAGATCGGGGGGCCCCTGTACCAGGGTTCTGCCCTCCCCATGGTTACGGCACCTCCTCCAACCTCCCCCACCCCTGGGATATTCCCAATACAACATCTGTTGATCTTGATGGAAACTCAGTGGCTACCATGGAGGTCATGCTGCTGCCTAGGGACAAGAATAAGATGACCTAGAGAGGTCATTCAACACTGAGGGGATCATTACAGCAATGGGTATTTTATCAATGTTAGCAATGGTCCTTAGGTTCTGCGGAAGAAGCATAGCATGGTTATTTGCTCTCTTGTTCTTAGGACAGGAAGTGTGTGTGTGTGTGTGTGTGTGTGTGCGCGCCCGCGCGCACACAAACATGTCAGAAATGGCCTCCTTGTATATGACGAAACCCATCCCCTTCCTCAAGCTCCAGAGGTATTGAAGTTCCAATGACTGAGCAGCTTTTCGGGCTGCCTGCTGTGCTGCACCTACCTTCAGTCCTCATCACTGCATTTCCACCGAAGCCTTGCTGCTCCCTCATTACTACACCCACTAGAACCAGCTCACAACCCAAAGGGTCTGTGTCTTCCCCTACCCTCACTCCCCAAGAAGAGGAGAGTGTACCTGGACATCAACCACTTCTCTCCTTTGCCCTGGAGACTAGAAGGATGAATCCTACACTCTCTGGTCTGAGAGAAACAGCCAAATACACAAGCAAAGCATAAGACATTCTTGTCTAATGGGACCCTTGCAGCCAGAGCAGGCATTTGGGAAGTGCCCAATCATTGTCTTTAAACTTAGTGCCAAAAGGTCTGAGACAGCAGACCTCAAGAAATCTTTGTAAAATTTTAGAATTTCTTAGGAAAAAAACAAACTCCTAAGAGTCCTTATAAAGTCGCTCTTTTTTTTTTTTCCTAATTCTCACCCAAGGATATATTTATTGATTTGAGAAAGAGAAAGGGAGAAAGGAAAAGCGAGAGAAACTTAGATTGATTGCCTCCTGTATAGTCTCCAACCGGGGATCGAACCCAAAACCTTTAGGTGTACAGGATGACACTACAACCAACGGAGCCACCCAGCCAGGGCTAAAATGTCTTCTTTGGATTGTTCATCCCCCAAACTGAACCAGACTTAGCCCAAACAAAGAGACCAGGCTGTGTACATGTATGTACATATAATATTACATATAATAAAGCAAATGTGTATATAAATATACTTTTGTCAAAGTGAAAAGGGTTCTACAACCCTATTTTCTAACCCCAGACATTACACTTCCAAAAGCACATCCTTAAGACTCTGCTACTGAAATATTTGAATTCGTTCTCTGAGCTCATTAGAGATGAAAAACAATTGGTCATCATTTATAATGTGTCATCGAATTCCAAATCTGAAGATTTATTCTCTCTCTTTCTCTCTCTCTGTCTCTCACACATCTCATTATGCCTCAGCCTTATTTCTAGTCTAAATTAACATTCTAATTTATTAGACTCAGTGGGGATTTTTCGGTCACCAACAGAAAGTAATATCTCCTCTTCCATGGGATGCCTGGGTTTCCCTAAAGTGGTGTTTATGTTTTTCTTGCCTATAAATATATGAAAGACTCCATGAAGAGCACCCACAGGGAATGAAAATGAAAATTTGGTGAAGAGCAAGTTTATGAGTAGGCAGCTTGAGTGACTGGCTTCTGAACAGGGACCCATCCATTCTGGAGTTGGCTTGTGATCCATCTCTTGTGGAGGCCTTGCCTTCTTGGTGTCCTCTATACAGCTGGCCTGTATGTGAGGGACAGCATCGGGGTTCCTGGAGGGTTACTTGGGAGCTCCCTGATAGATTTCTATGGGGAATTTCCCCTGGGCCCACCTTCTCATATATCCTCAGATTCCTTAATAGACGTGGACATGCCAACTTGGTAATTGTGTGATTACAGAAACAATGATCATTTGCAATCCCAACTTTAGGGATCAAACTCCTCAAGTCTCTTGATGTCTGGAAGGCAAGGCTGTCCCCTCCTCTGTAAAAAATCTAGAAAGTAGGATCTAGAAGGAAAGTTATAAGTCAATTTGTTGCTTTATTTTCTTATTTTTCACTTCCCCTCCCAGAAGCAATGACCAGGTATCCACTGTATGTCAGGAACAGGGATAAGGACTGGGGACCAGAGGTGAATAAGGTACAACCAGATCTTCAAGGCTCACAGACCACTGAGAAGCAGCAATTCTGAGGGCCAGATACTATCACATGGGAATATCCATAACGCAGCCTGGAGGCCAGTGCAGGGACAGGGGTCAGGGACAGCCTAATTGCAGACTAATAAAAGGCAATTAGCTAAAGAGGGGACCAGGCAGGGGCCAGAAGATGTGGGGGGTGGGTAGGAGTGTTTCCAGTAGAGAGAAAAACATCCTCAAATGATCAGAGGTGAATGAGTACGGCTGGTCCCCCAGAACTAACCTTAAGCTCTTCCGGCTGATACACAAGAACCGCAGGGTAGGAGGCTGGCAGGGGCCCGGTTGTGAAGGGCTCACACCTGAGGCCCAGAGGAAAGAGGAACCTGCGTAAGCCACACTGTGAGTCGGCCTGGCTCTCCAGTCTCCCTCTAAGGCCGTCCACGCTCAATATCGCCTCCAGCATTGGGACAGGGGCGATTTCTTGTTCAAGACTGCCCCGGACCTTGCAGGAAGTTCAGCAATCCTGCCCCCCACCCCCAGGCACTTAATGCCAGTAGCACCCTCTGCGGGGTGACAACACCAAGCCCCAACCACTCCCAACCAGAGGGGAAGGGCATGGGAGGAAATGGTTGCATGTGGAGGTGACAGCCAGGTCGTCACGGCGGGAGGCTGCTGGGTTCTGTCTCCCTTGGAGAAGGAGAAAGTGGGCAGGGGGTTGGGGCTGTGGGGAGGTGGTAATTTGGCCTCTGGTGGAGAAACAACATCTAGGCATAGAACTGAGGAAAATCAATCACTTCCTCTCTCTCTCATGGTCCTTCTCACAGCCCCTCCCCATCGAGGTTTTTGTGGGGGGTTTTTCAGTTTTGTTTTTCAAAGCAACATGGCATTCGTGCAGGGTCTGGTAATGAAATGAGATAAAAAAAAAAGCAAGTGCAAGTGTTTAGAGCATTGCTGGGAGGACTTGATCCACCTCCTGCGAAGGCCCGCAGTCGGGGCTGGGAGCTGAAGCCACTGATAACAGAACGCTTTGGGCAGGAACCGTGAGAGGCAGCTGGCACTGGGGAACAGATGAATGAGACGAGAGGTGGGGGTTCCAGGTTGGGGACAGGGACATGTGGAGCCTCTTTTATCCTGGGTCTCAGGAGATAAAATCCTCAGGCTGCCACACCAGTGCCTGAAAATTAATTCCTAAGTTATAACAGGCATACAAAATCCAGGACAACTTGTGGGATGGTGGGGACAGTATCTAAGGCCAGGAGCTAAGAGATCGATTTCATTTTCCCTGCTTACTCCACTTGCCCCTTAAAGGAGGTCTGTCCTCCTGGGCAGCCCACCCGGATACCAAGAGGGTCTGGCCTGGCATCGGGCCCTGTCCTCTGCCCTGGCTCAGGTGAGCAGGAAGTGTGAGCCAGGACAGATGGAGCCTCCCTGCTTGCTTCCCCAGGACTGTCCCCAGCTGGTGCCCACAGAGGAGATCTTGATACCAGTTGGGGAGGTAAAGCCCATCACCCTGAAGGCGCGAAACCTGCCCCAGCCTCAGTCTGGCCAGCGAGGCTATGAGTGTGTCCTCAACATCCAAGGAGCCGTCCACCGAGTGCCCGCCCTGCGCTTCAACAGCTCCAGCGTCCAGTGCCAGAATAGTTCGGTAAGAGGGCTCAGGCTCGGGCCCTGCCGGGAGCAGGCCTTTCTCTCACATCCACCCGAAGGCCTCAGCCTGGCCTGCCCCGAAATTTCCAGGGCCACAGGCTGATCCCAGGTGCCCGGGGACGGAGGGGCAAGCATGCATGTCAGGCCCCTCCGCAAGTGCAGAGCAGGCTAGTGGCATCAGAGGAGACACGGGGTGCTGTGAGGACCCTAATGGCGTAAGTTGAGAGCGTCGTGCTCTTTCTGAGTTTTATGAGCACCTCTTGGCCTTCATTAAAACTTCGGCCAAAGCCAGTCAGCCCACTGCAAACCCTGTCCCCATTCAGGAAGAGCAGGGAATGGGTGAACTGGAGGGCACTTCACAAGAGAGACGAGCAGGAAGGGGAATGGGACAGGGGCGGGGGAGGGAAGGAAGTGGAAGCAGTGGGTTTCAAGAGCACCAAGGGTCAACCAATTCCGAATGCCAGACAGAAAGCCCGAGGTGTTTAATTATAATACCAGCCCAGAGAAGATCTTTCTATCTGCCAGCTCCCTGTCTGTGACAGTGGGGGGTCAGCTGGAGATGGGGGGGTGACGTGACAAAGGTGTTGAGGGAAGCTAATTCGCCTGGGAGAGATAAAGAGAATCTGGACCTCTTATCAGGAAGCTGTCAGATCGCCGGGTCACCGGCGGGTGATAGAATTTGTAATGGGTGGAAGGCCGCCAAGCGCCAGGGGAAGGTAGGAGGAGAAAGAAACGGAACACAACAAAGGGAAGACTGCGGCAGGAAGGGCTTCGGGCAAGAGGGCTGACAGGGACATGCCTGGGACATGCCTGAGAGGTAAGTGGCCAGGGCTGGGGCATTCCCCACACCAGGGATTCCTAGAGGTCCCCTTCACAGAGACGGGGCCTGGGCCATCAAGAGGGGCTGTTTCTGAAGTGTGTGAAGGGCTTAAACGTCCCCTGTGGGATCAGCACGGGAGAGAGAGTCAACTCCTGGCCACAGCTTGAGGCCTTTCATGGTGGAGCTGAGCAGATCTCTGCCCACAAGGCTCTGCGCACTTTTCCTAGTGAACTATTGACCAGAGTGAAGCTCACGTGTAAAACTAAAGGACCACCACAGGGCCTGGCTGACCATTAGTTACACACGTGCTCTGCTCAAGGCTCTGTGGGGTTTACAGAGCAGTACACGGACCTTCTGGAGAGACTAGGCTTGCCCACAAAACCGTGCAGAGCAGCTCCTGGGAAGTGCCAGGTTAAAGGCAGAGACTGGCAACATGGGGGACAGAGCTTGGGGGAGGACTAGCAAGGATGTCAGAGAAAACGCCTGGGAAGGTGAGTCTGAGCTAGACTAGAAAGATCACGGTGGGCTGAGGGTAGATGCCCTAGGGAGAGGGAGGCATTCCTTGTGAGAGGCACAGACAGGGGCTTGGGCGGGTGTGTTTGGAGTCAAATGGATTCGGAGATCTCGGTAGGAGAGCAGTGGAAGAGAAAGCTGGAGAAGTAAGTTTGTCTCTGGAAGGCACTGGATCCTGTCATTATTAGTAACTGGGAGTCAGGATGGTGGGCCACAGGGAGAGTTGAGCAGCATATGGGGCTCCTCTGATTGTCCCTCTACAGCTTTCTCAGCCCAGCAGGAACCGGATCCCTGGTTTCTTTCCTGCTGTAGCCCCCGGTCCCCTGAGGTGCCCACAGCCTCCCTGACCCCCCGCGATAGAGAGCCTCACTAGCCAGTGTCTCTCCCCTCTCCCCACAGTACCAGTACGACGGGATGGACATCAGCAACCTGGCCGTGGACTTCGCTGTGGTGTGGAATGGCAATTTCATCATCGACAACCCTCAGGACCTGAAAGGTAAGCGTCTACTTCCAGGTAGAGTTTTGATCTGTTCGTGACCCCAGGAAAGACGGGGCTGGCAGGATTAGAGCCTGCTGGCCGCTGTGCCATGAATAATACACTCCCTCTGTCAGCGGAACTCTTCAGAGGATCCGAAACCAACATTTGGAGCCATCAAAGGAGTCCCGTTGGGAACCTTGTTTTATTACAACCAGAGCATCCGCTGTGGCTGCCGGCTCATCGCGTTTTTCTTAGGCTCCCAGAGACTTTGAAGTGTCTGTGGAACCTGACCTAGGAGAGCAGCAGGCAGGAGGTCCTGCCAGTTTCCCTGGAAATGGAGATATTGTTTCCAATCAGGTTCTGGTTTCCTTTGGCCCCATCCTTGCACAAAGAAGGTTTTTAAGGCTGCTCCCCTGGTTCTGAGGTGGACGGGAGGGAGAGACCATAATGCGGACTCAAGTGCACAGCTGGTGCCAGGAAGTTCAGGAAGGAGCTGGGCTGACGCAGGGGGGCGCCCACTGAGGGCCACCCTTATTCCTGGCCTTACAAACACATGTGCAGCCCCTCCGACGGGCCAGGTAGGCACTGCCCTCAATACAGCAAATACCAACATTCCACCATGCCCTCAAGAATGACAAAAGTACCTCCAATTTGGTGAGCACTCACTGATTTGAGATTACTTTTCTTAATCATCACGACAACTCTGATAGGTATGCACTTGTATTATTCTCGTTTTACAGATTAAAAAGCCTAAACCCAGTGAGGTTAATAAACGGACCAAGAGTGCTCACTTTGGAGGCACCTGGACAAGGCTGAAGCAATGCAGAGTTTAGCCTGGCCCCTGAGCAAATGTGCAAATTAACGAAGCGTTTCATATATTTAAGAAATGTACTGAATGATGTCACTCATAGGTGGAATCTTTTTAAAAATTCAAACTGATAGAAACAGGGAGCAGAAAAGTGGTTGTCAGGCTGCGGGTAGGGAAACTAGGGAGAGGTTTGTAAAAGGGTACAAACTTTCAGCTACAAGATGAATAAGGTCTGAAGATCTAATGTAAACTACGGTGACTTTAGTTGATAACACCGTACGGCATAATTGAAATTTGCAAACAGGGTAGAACTTAAATGTTCTTCCTATATGGTGAAGGATGTGTGTACTAATTAACTAGATGGGAGGAATCCTTTCATTATGTGTACGTACATCAAATCATCATGATTTAAATAGAGTACAATTTTATTTGTCAGTCATATCTCAGTAAAGCTGAAGAAAAGAAAGAAAAGAAATTGACCAAGAGTCAGGTAGTAAGAGCCAGGATTTGAATCAAGACAATGTAATGTCAGAGCTCACATGCTGAACCACATCGCTGTCTTCCCAGGGACTCCGGCCGCTGTGGGATGTGAGGCCTCCCCTTCCCAGGCCCGAACCCCCCACCGTGAGCCACATGTCTCACCACAGTTCAAACAGCTAGGGTTGCCACAAGCCTCTCCTTCATCCTCCGGGTCACCTGGGGGACACAGGGAAAGAGTCTAAGGCCACAGGAGGGCCTGCAAGTGCTTCAGCATCTGTGAGGCTGCAGCCCCCTGCTCCCGATGCCGCCATGAAAAGCCAGGCTTCTTCGGCTGGGAGAGGGGAACTAGGCCAGGGAGAGTTTTTTGTTTGGGTTTGGTTTTTTCTCTTTCTCCTCGTACCCAGGCCAAATTTTTTCAGTGCTAAGAATAGACATTTGCCCTGCTGGGGATCCAGGCTCAGTTCCCAGAGGTTGCCTTTGCACCTGGAGCTTAGAGAAAAGCAGTCACATCTAAGCTGTCACCTCAGAGCCCTCCCTTGCGGTACTCCACAACTTTAAAGCCGCACTTGCATACGCGGGTGGCGTCACCTTCACATCCCTCCCCCTCCCAGGGCCCGAGTGATCCCGGAGGCTACGCCCTCTGTTGGGTGGAGAGGGCCATTGTGTGTGAGGACTTGGGTTCCAGGATCTAACAGACTGGGGTTCACGCCCTGTCTCTTTCATTTGCAGCTATGTGACCTCAAATTACTGCTCCTCTCTACATCCTCATCTGTGAAAGGATAGAGGGGTGCCCTCCTCTCAGGGTCACCATGAGGATCAAATGAGATACTGGATGTGGACCAGTTGTGCATCACAACAGCTGCTCAGTGTGTACTGGTCCGCTGTGAGATCCCCATCTCTTGCCCTCTACCATATGAAGCCGTAGGAAGAAGGGTATTTAAAACTAGTCCCTACAGCTGGACTGAGGGATGCTTGACAGGGCAGCAGAAAAGGATGAGGACCTATGGAAGAAGAAAAAAAAAAAACGCCTCCCCTGGGGCATGTGCCTGATGGAAACATGCCACCCGGTCCTCAAAGCTTATGTCTGCTTGACAGAGGAGTTAAAAATGACGTTCTGAGTGTTCTGCTTCTGCAGAATTCTACTTGGGACGCTGCGTTCGAAATACCAGTAGGCAAAATCTAAGTGCCAGGCTCACAAGTTCTGCTCCGTGGCCTGCTAAGGGCTTCTACGTCAGGAAATGGCAAGAGCAAAGGCAATGAAATTGCAGACTCCAGAAGTGACCTGTTAAGTGGCCACTTTGTCTTCTCTGTGCCAACCCTTTTCCTTGTCAGCTCTGCCTCCACTTAGCCAGCCACCTGGCCTTTTTGGAGCCCAAGCTGACCCCTCTCCCAGACCCGCCACTTCCCACTGTGCCAAGCCAGGTACCCCTCCGCTCAGGACCGACGGCCTAGCAGCACCCGGAGAGAGTCGCAGGATCCCAGCGTGGAGCCCTAACCTGAGGAAACCCCAAGAGTCATTGCATGTCTCTGAGCTTCATTTTTATGGGACATGGGGAAATTAGTCCTTACTCTCAGCATGAGGGCCACATGTAAGAGTCAGAGAGACAGCAGTATAAGAATACAGTTTGCAGTCAAAGAAAAGATAAAAAGCGTATACCGAACATCAAGCATGTTACAGGCACTATGCTAAGCACTTAATATATAACATCTCATTCAAACCTCACAAAAAAACAATGATCACCCCATGTTACAGATCAAGTAAACAAGGTTCCAGGAGGTCAAATTCTTTGTCACATGGCTAGGAGGTGTTGAAACCTCAATTAAAGCCCTTATCTGATTCAGTCTGAAGTTAGAACTTTTAAATAATATTTTCTGTATTGCCTTTAAATGAGTGCTAAGAGGCTCCATTTATTATTACTTCTTCATCAATTTTTCTTGCAATGACGATGATGATTATTGGTATTATCTGTGGTTGTGGAAGGTTTCTGTCACACCTGCAGGAAGAGGGCAAGTTGTGGGAGATCCTCTCCAACCCCACCTGTGACTGTCCCCCTGCCTTTGCAGTGCACCTCTACAAGTGCGCCGCCCAGCGAGAGAGCTGCGGCCTGTGCCTGAAGGCCGACCGGAAGTTCGAGTGCGGCTGGTGCAGCGGCGAGCGCAGGTGCACCCTCCACCAGCACTGCACCAGCCCCTCCAGCCCCTGGCTTGACTGGTCCAGCCACAATGTGAAGTGCTCTAATCCCCAGATCACCGAGGTGAGTCCCCCAAGCTCTAGAGCAGGACCAGGAGCCAACCCCGGGGCAGTGGGAGAGGGGGGCACGTTGAGCCTTTGTGGAAGAATCCGTGGCCTAGGGTGTGATTGATGTGGAGATGGATAAAGCCTGTTGTGGGTGTCTCGATGGCCTGCGTCCAAGTGTAAGTGACAAGCATATGGAAGTGTGTCCTTGTGCCTGTGCAAGAATGTGCATGCACACAACAAGGGAAGCAGAGCCAGCCCAGCCTCCCAGCCTGGCCGGCTGGCCTGGGCGGGGAATGCGAAATTGGCTGCGTGGTGGGTGAACGTTTCAGAAAGCAGATTTCACTTTTCTCAGCAGAAATGTGATTTCAGGAGCTGAGATTAGGTCAGAGTTGCAAAGTTGAAAACGAAAGAAGAAAGTGAAGTCAGGCACCGCATTAGCCACCGTGCCATATCCCAGGGTTTACTCTCTGTCCCAATTTGTTGGTGCATTTCAATGGAAAGAAATAGGTAATTAATTGTCCTGGAAGAAAATGATGTTTCCTGAATAGCAAATTGCAAAGGAAGATGAATAGATGATGAGAATGAAAATGCAGCTGCCGGGGTTTTGAATGGCCCGGGAGAGGAGTGGTTGTATTTCACTTTGCTGGCATTATGTACTCATCACTCTCCAATGCTCCCAATTCACTGACTGTCACTTGTGCTGTGAAACTAATTGCATGTTCCTTCAGGTGACTAGGAATAAAGGCCTGGGCAGGTACCACTGTGGTCTCTGTGTTGACGAAAGCAGGGAGGGCTGAGTTCCGCCTCTTTTCTGAGCAGAAGCTCTGTCGCTCTCCCTGCCTCGTTTTCACTACCGGCCCAAAGGCAGCAACTCCTGCTCTCACCTGCGTCAGTGGGTTTCGGGAATCTTCTGACGCATCCTTTTGATCGTATCCAAGATTCACCTTGGTGAAAAGAAAACCCTCAAGACCAAATGAATGTTGTTAACCTACAGATGGGTCATTTGAAGAGGGAGCACGTATTTATTTAGTGGGCTTGGTTGGCGCTGTCTCATTTAATCCTCAAAACCACCTTGGGAAGTAAATATTCTCACCTCCATTTTACAGATGGAAAAATGAAGCTCAGAGGAATGGAGTGAGTTGCCAAAGTTCACATAGCTAGTAAGTGGCAGAGCCAGAATTTTAGCTTAGGTTTATGTAATTTTAAAACCATTTTTAAAGCCTTTAGTATTTTTGCTCACGTAACATAAAACAAGAAGTGGTGCTTCCTTTCCCTTTATATCCAAACTTTCTAGCTGGTACAGAGCAGAGAGACACACCAAGCCACACGGCATCTTATCCCAGGGGAAGTACAGTGCTGTGGGACAGTGACTTGTGCATCCAGGCCCTCGTGCATCCAAGTAGGAAGGCGTGAGGGGAGCATAGACTCTGCCTGTCAAAGACTGGGCTTCTCCAATCCCATTTCTCTTTGGGGCTACTGATTTCCCCACGTGCGTACATTGCTGGGAAGGAGTGCTTGCAGGGGCTGCCCGGCCTCTGCTCTCAGGCAGCTGGCTCCCAGCTGCTCAGGGCTCCGTGCCTCTGCCCCGATTGTCATGATTTCCAGCGGCCGTAGGCCTGATAACTTGCTCTGGTCTGTACTTCTTGTTGATGCAGTTGTGGTCTCTAGGTCTCTGTGCCTCCGTCACGGGGGCTCTTAAATTAGGCCGAGGGCTCGCTTCCTCCCACCTCTGCCAACCCTGGCTGCTGCCCCAGCCCCATCTGTCTACTCCCCGACTGGCAGGAGCCCACTCCTGGCCCAAAGGCAGGCATCTTCCTGGGAACCTCTGCCTCCCTCGCCCCTGCTCACTGACCAGGGACTGACAGGCTGCTCTGTTCACAGAGGACACCCAGCTACACAATGCTAATTAACCCCCTCAAGTAATTAGGCTGTAATTGATTTTCCCAGTGAACACAGCAGCAGGAACCTGAGGCCCCAAGCAGCGGGGGCTCCTGTTGGTGTTTTTCAAACAGGGGCCATGAGGAAATGAAAGTGCACCTTATTGGAGAGACAAATCCATGGTGTGTCCCAAGCCATTCTGGTCACATCACTCTGGACAGGATATGTGGGAGGGAGGCCCCCAGCCTGGAATGTTTTATCAGGAACGTTTTATTTTGCATTTCCTACTCTCAACCTATCCTCCTCTCCCTGTAAAATCAATTTCAATTTTTTAACCTTTAATTTTTGAAATAATTTCAGACTTAATAAAAGGTACAAAAATAGTACAAAGAACTTTCATATACCCTTCACCCAAATGCTCTAAAATTAACATCTTACATAACCACAGTATAATTATGTTAGCATTGATACAATAACGCCATCTAATATACATACTTTGTTCACATTTTGCCAGTTGTCCCACTGATGTCCTTTTTCTGGTCCAGGATCCAATCCAGGGTCACATGTGATATTCATTATCATGTCCTCTTTGTGCTCTAACCTTTCTTTTGTTTCATGACCTTGATACTGGTGAAGAGTACAGGCCAATTATCTTGTAGTTGTCCCTCAATTAGAATTTGCCTAATGTTTCTTCATGATTGAATTCAGATTATATGTTTTTGGCAATGAGTACTAAAAAACAAACGTAGGGTACATATCCAGAGGGCACAGGAGCCAACCTGATTTGGCCCCAATGGCCAAATCTGGGGCAATTTTGGCAAGTAAATAGATAATGGTACTAATGGACAATAAGCAACAGAGTAAAATAAGGATGTATGGTCCTTATTGATATAAATTTTAAAAAAATTCATGAGGGAGAGAGGAAGCTCTTCTCTATACTGGAATCTTAGCTCATAAATGTAGAAGGAATTATAGAAATAGAAAATCATCATTTGGCAAAATTCATAGTGATAATTGTTTGAGGCAAGAATAGCCAACGAATGCTAAAATTAGCAGATGGAAGTATGATGAGAAATAGGTGTTTACATAGTCTCAAGCTATCTCCCTACAAGATACTTATTAATTACAACAAGAATAGTAACTTCACAGTGAAAAAAAATTGGCAAACACTACCTTAACCAAATGATCAAAGATAACATCACCAGGAATGGCAAGAGTCAACATCATGTGCCTCTCAATAGGATGTGCTAAGAAGAACACGACCTTATTTCTATGGCTTTTTTTTTTTTTACCCAAAATGTATAACTTGATAAAAAATAATTTTCAGAAGAATCAACTTATTTTCTTTACGTCTGCTTTCTTGGCTAATTCCTTGACATTAGCATAAGTATTTTATTTAATAATTGTAACTCAGTGAGATCGATGCCCTTTTTTCTCCCCCTTTCTCTGGCCTTTACATGTGCCCCCACAGTGCAAGCCAACATGCAAACAGAAGCCATTTCCCATGAAGCTCCTTCATGAGGGGAGAAAAGGGGAGGATCCTATGATGGCCCAAAGTCTGCGGGGGCGGCGGAATTCCCAATGCCGGGAACAAATGGAGCTGGAATGGGTACCGTCCTGCCCACGGGCAGGGAAATCAATGAGGTGCCCTTGAACCAATGAGTTCTACTTTAGGAAAAGGAGTGGGCTTAGCCTTAGTTATATGAACAGCTATGTTCTTCCTTAACCCCTCCTTACCCAACTGTCTCCATGACAACCAAGCCCACCCCTAGAGACCCATCTCTTATGGCAGCTTCATGTAGGACAAGTCTCACAGCTCATTGAATTTCCCAGTTTGCATAACTTCAGGTTAGGTCCCCTCCAGGACTCACCGTCTGCTCCTTCTCAGCCAGCTCCTGTTGTGATAATCACGCTGTCCCCTGTGGGAGACACCCCAGGCTGCTCCCATTCCACCTGTCACCCTGGATGTCTGTGCACACTGTCACCTGCTCAACCCCAGGAACAGGAGACACACAGAGCAATGAAAAGCCCATGAGGTGCCTGGCCCATCACGTTTCAGTTCTTCCCAGCGTGTGCTTGAGGACCCGCTGGGACCTCAGGGACAAGGATGTGGTGAACCACCCACTAGGAAGGAAGGCTCAGAGAACACATTTTCTAAGAATCTGTGAGTGGGCAGCAGCCAGCAGGAAGGGAAAGGATATTCAGTATGTTCTTGGGGGAAGAAATTTAGGAAGTGTCAAGGGGCTTCTGGGCTCATGTGACAAAAGTCTCTCCTCATAGTGAATGTATGAGTTTGCTAGGGCCGCAGTTACAAAACCACAAACTGGGAGGCTTCAACAACAGAAATTTATTTTCTCACAGTTCTGGAGGCTAGAAGTCCAAGGTCAAGGTGTTGGCAGGGGTGGTTTCTTCCGAGGGCTGTGAGGAGAATCTGTTCCATGCCTCCCTCCTAGCTTCTGGGGGTTTGTGGCAGTCTTCGGCCTTCCTCCGCTGACAGAGGCACCACCCCAATCTCTGCCCTCATGTCCACGTGGTGTTCTTCTTGTCTCTATGTGTCTGTCTCCACGTTTTAAAAAAATAAGGATCCCAGTCACATTGGGTGAGGGCCAACACTAAGGACCACGTTTCAACTTGGTGACCCTTGTGAAATCCCTATCTCCAAATAATATCCCAGTCTGCAGTAATGGGAGCTAGGGCTTCCACGTGTGAATTTGGAGGGGATAAAGTTCAACTCGGGACAGAGCATTCTGAGAAAAAGGAGGAGGTGGCACCATTCTAAGGAAATTAACTCCCTCATTAACTGTTCACTTAGTGAGTGACTGCTGTCTGCCATGCACCGTGTTAAGCCTGGAAGTTCTCACAGGGATAAATTAGTCCTGGGTGAGGAGGCTGCACAATGCAGCGTCTTTCTATAGAACTGCACATTGGCCACCTGGAAGAGGGTGGGAACTGCTTGCCCTTGCAGCAACTCTGCTTCCTCCAAAGGACCTGAGACTGGGACTTCTAATCTACGCGCTTTGTAGCTGTCTGAGGTTTGGAAAGAGGACAGCAGCAGGGTCCCAGGTCTCCAAACCTAACAAGGACGCACACCGCAGGCCCGGGACATGAACCAGGGAGCCACTCCCTAGTTCTGGGATT